ACCGAAAATGGCTTCTGTGTTTACACAGAGATCACGTGACTTTACATGTCCATACACACACTATCTTGTCGATTTCACATTCAGTGTGAAATAAGCTTTCCATCAATATATAGCTTTGTATGGTTCAGTAAATATTTTATATGGAAACACCCGTTTAGAAAATCAATACCAAAAACCTATACAGCATCCTTAAAACAATGAACCAGTTACCCTGAGCACGATGAATCATCTTCGGAAGACAATGAGTGTTGGCCTGTTTTGTAAACAATTCTTTGTATGGGACCATGCAGGGCGCACAGAAAATAAAACAGGGCGCTGACAATTTAAACAGGGCGTCAATTTCAAATAACAGGGCGCAGCGCCCTGTAAAAACCCCTCGTTGAGAACCCTGAATACAATGTTAGTTTCATGAAATTCAAACACATACTGCGCAATGACCATCGACCTTCAGGTTTATTTACATTATTTAACGTTATAGACAAGAAAAAGCAGAAAATTTCAGTAAATACCGGTACTATACCTGGAGCTTGTATTTGCAGCTAGACTAAATCTAGCAACTTGTTTCCTTGATGATGATGGCTTGGATGAATACATTCCAGATGCATGCTTGCCTGTTGACTGACCCCCAACCGATTGGCGATTACGTGAAACAGAACGTGTACCTAGACAAAAATCAGTATTCCATGTTAGAATATCAAATCGTGAATTGAATACTTAGTCCTAGGGTGAAGATAATAAGTGGTTAAAGAAGAAAACCAGGCAAACTACATAAAGCTCAATATAATAGAACAAATGTAGGAGAATGCAATTTAGAGAATTTGTTATATTACTTTTTATTTTTTTAGATATTCATCTTTTATACAGGATTATGATTCTCCAGCAAAGGATTAAGGGTTAAGTATGACATCACATCCATTGTTAGGAAAAAATTATTTCATTTGTAACTTGAAAGTAGGATTCAAAATGGTTGAAAGTTTAGAACATGGTACCACCCATACATATAACAAGTCATTGTCAATGACACGTCCCCGTTCCGTTCATATTTGAGTGACATTCATTCAAAGCAGATCATGACCGAAATGCACCTGCATATGTACAACACATTGTACTAAATCTGAACAAAATCCATCCATGCATGACTGACATCCGGTTCCGGAATTGTGAAAATACGTGATTTTGATGCATTTAAAATGGCCATCATTCAGCTATTGTTAAGCAGATCATGAAACAAATGCACATATCTATTTGTGACATGATGTACCATGTGTGTGTGAAGTTTGAACTTGATCAATCCAGACATGTCTTGGATACGGATCCAGAACTGAATTCTTTAAAACAAAATGGCCACCAGGTCCTATTATGTTTAATGTATGTACCAAATTTGAACGAAATCCGTCCATGCATAACTGAGATCCGGGTCCGGAATGGTGAAAATGTGCGATTTTGATGCATTTTCGGCCTTAAAATGGCCGCTATTCGGCTATCGTTAATCGGATCATGAAAAAAATGCATGTGCATATGTCCCATATAATATGTGATGTATGAGTGAAGTTTGAACTTAATCGGTCCATGCATGTTCGAGATACAGGTGATCACGGACGCACGCACGGACGCACACAGGGCAAAACATAAGTCCCCGTTTTCGGACTACGTCCGAACGGGGACTAAAAAGTTTGTAATGGAAACAGAAATGAAAATATTCATTCAAAATTTATTTATTTTACCTTTTTGGCAATAACTTTTTGTGTCTTTGCAACATTCTAAATTCCATTATTATAATTATATACACGAGTATTATGCACCCTGAAAATTTTAATTAATTCGTATCAGACTCCTGCAAATATAGTGAACAGCGTTTCCTAACTTTTATCATTTCTTATAGTTATACACAAGAGGGTTAAATATCTTGATGTTTGATAGAAATTGAATTTATCTTTGTTACAAGTGACTGTGACTACTACACCCCTGATTACAACTTTTACCGTGGAACTACATGTACATATACAAATCATGCACAACAGTCTGTGGCTCTGATTGATCGTGACACAGAACTTTTCCCCAATATTGAGATTATCCCCAAATCAGGATATAATTTTTGACAATCACACAGGAAATTAGGTGTCAACAAATTAGGTTCAAGCATTACAGCTCCCTGGTTCAAGTGATGGAGAATACCATCCAATCATCCGATTTTACCTTTTAAACTTTTTTTTTTAATATTGGTTACCGCCCTTCAAAAGAACCTCTTAGATTTTGACAATCATAAATTGTGCATCCTCGAGTTGTCAACAATTGTCTCCGTGTCGAGGGATTGCCTCCGATCGACATACAGAAAGGTCAAAAATCACATAACGGTTACCTGCATCATTTTTGACTCTCAGCGGCCCTAATGAGGCCCTGCCATTTCCAATAGAGCCTCGTGATGAAGATGATCCGAACGACGGTCTGTGCATTGTGTTCAATATATTAGAAATATAGTCAGAAAATAATTCGACAACAACAGCAAATTCAAAATGTACGCCAAAGTAGGTTTGAACTCTTTGCACATGCGCAAAACATATTTCCCAGAATTCATTTCTAACAGTGGAGAAAAGAAAGGTTTTACGATCAAAGGACCACGCAAGATTGTGATAATAACTACATCAGACGATTTCATTTTTAAATATTAATACACATACGTTTTACTTCTCGTGACAAACGATATGACTCTCAATCATGATTTCTCGATGTAATCCACTGTAGAGGAACTGTGATTAAAACATTGACGATTATTTTTAGATTCACCTGAAGGGTATAAAGGTTAAAGGTTAAAGGGTCATAAACTAGCATATGTGAACACATGTGCAGATTGAGCGAGGTCGTGTAAATACTGCAATTATTCGTAGATATGAAGAGAGCAGTTGTAGAGGCGTCCGACGTCAATGATGAAAATGTGGTCGATCCTGTCGCAAGCAAGAAGAAACGTGAGGCATTTAGCGCCCATGATTTTACCACACGTTTGAAAGAAGGCAACATCGTGTCAGGTACCTAGTAGCAGTAACATTGCACCTTTACTTTAGAAAAACAACATTTCTATTAGTTGTTAGAAAAAGATATACATGTATAGGTACCACTATTTTTGTATTAGATAAGTTTCTAGTGTTATGGACAGGTAGATGGTACTGGTTATAAAGAACGTTACAACAGATATCAGCCTCCAAGAAGTTAGTTGCTTATATTTACACTTGTAGGATCTAAAACATTGATAGTTTTCTGATAATTATTCGATAATTCTAGCTCCAAGAAAATCAAAGCCAAACCCTAATATCACAATCTCTAATATCAATCAATTGTCGTTCTAAAATTATCCATGAATATACTATCGCCAAGAAAACCAAAATTTAACAACATTATCACTTCGATATATCATGGATGTACTAGTACAGTACATCCATGGATATATTGATTCGATATTTTGATAATCTTCCGATAATTATCTGAGAATTCTGTTACCAAGATACATCATAAACATAACATTTTGAAAAAGTATAAAACTTGGCGATTCAAAAAATATTTACTTTACTTGGTCATTTTGTAGTCACATCCAGAAGATGAAAATTAATATGTAAATAAAATCCCACTATCTTAAAGAGAAATTCCAGGAAAAATGGGTAATTGAACATGAGAAGGTGGGGATAGAGTGGCCCAAGCATGTGTTGTATGGAATGATTACTACCGGTCTTATGAATGAATTTACAAAATCTCTCATTCTGATGTGATGTGAAATGAGATTGTGCAACTTCATTCTCATTAGTAAACAGAATTATCATAAAACATAATTGTCATGTTTGGGTCAGTCAAGGATTTCAGCAGGGCTGTTCAAATGCCTTTCAATAGCTCAAAAGTATCACAATGTTGCAGTTTATCACCTATTTGCAAGTGTATCTTTTTAGGGGGCCCATTTCACATGTTATAAATGAAACTTCTTGCATATTATAGCATCTACATGTACATGTATATAGAGAATACATCATGAAACAGCATAGCCATAGCATTGGTTGAAACAGCATAGCCATGTTACTTAATGGAACTTAAAATATATTGTGAATATTGTGACAAGAAAAATCCAAAGTGCAGAATATGAAAACACTTTTGATCCTGCAGGATCAATCAAATCAGCTAGCATTATATGTAATGTTACATGTATTATTTATACAAGTTGCCATGGTAACGCAAACACAACACTTCAGCACAATCATTGCTCTTTAAAAAAACACAAGTTATAGTGAAAAAAATCGTGGTTATTGACGAAATTAAACAAAATACTTTGCATACTATACTTTATTATTCTTTATTTGTATCTGTACAAGGGTATTGAAAATGCAGCCCATTAGTGACAGCTTCACAGTTGGATTTCTATTTCAAATACATATGACATGGGTTGTAAGTTTAGTAGACGATATCTTATGAATGACTCTGTAGTATCAGCCATTGTAGCACAGCATACATACATTGTGTATTTTCCACAAAGGTCAAATATCAGTCATCGTAGAAGACCCAATAATCGTGTTCTCTTTTTCAGTCTTGGAAGATTTTATTGAAAATGCTCGTGATAATTCAAGTGACATTGTCACTGAATACTTAAAAATGTCACCAGAATGCAATGAGGTTTTTAAGCTGATGGATGGCGAGAAGCGTCCACCATCGCAGGTATGCACTTTGTCTGACAATTAATGTCTTCAAATTATTATTGAAATATTCTGAGTTGATAGTGCTAACATTGCCAACCATGCCACCACGACTGTATTTTCTCTATTAGAGGCGCATCTCTAATAGGCATATAAATCATTAAAATATGACCGTAGAAATATGTCTGTATTTGCATGCACTACTATTAGAGCAACTGTTATGTTAATATCCATAATTAAAATACCATGAACAAACAAACAAACAAACAAGTCATTCACTGCTAAGTCAGTGAACTGCACACATGGAACTCCATGCTACTTACAACCCTCCAAAAAAACTTAATGAACCAGAAAATAGAGAAAATAGCAAAATATAAAATAAAGCAGAGCATCATGGGTATTCTCTATTTAACTGCACACAAACTCCAAAATGAAAAGTGGCTAAGACAATCAATCTTTCAACATAAAGTTCTACAGTTTATACCACACACCAGGGTTTGCACTTGACAAGACGAGTCCCACTTACAAATATTTAAGAAATAGAAATTTTACCCTGGATAACTTTATTAGTGATTGGACCCCAGCTTGCCTGAAAAGCTGGGTCCCTGTTCAATAATTGGAGTCTGGGAAGCAAAATATGGGGTTAACGCAATCCCTGACACATAATGCAAATTTACTTGTTAAGTATTTTGATGGACATGTATGAAATTTTATGTTTTTTGGTGGAAAGTCAGTTTGGGGGGGGGGGATGTGCATTAATCAATGTTTCAGTAGTGAATGACTTGTTTGTTTGTTCATGGTATTATAATTCTGGACAATGCCTTTAATTTCAAATAAAATTTAGTCAAAATTATGTATTCATGTAAATGTTTGTCAACAGATGCAGTTGATATTAGAGTTGCTAGAATGTATCCTCCTACATATCAGTGATAACACAAGCTACAAATCCACTGCCATGTCTATTGTACAAAGATTATTAGAGAATTACAAACGCCAACTCAATGATCCATTGGGCATTGGACGCAGTGCAAAATATACCAAGTCGTGTTTACGACTATTGACTGCTATGGTGATGATTGACGCCAACACTGCTAGAGATGTACAGAATCATTTCGATTTACACAGGGAAAGTTTCATATCACTTCTACATAGAAGAGATTCAAGGGTATGTCTCATCAATAGACACGTTTTGTATTTTAACAAATGCTTGTGTTGGACAGTATTCTGTAATGCCTTATTTGTGATCAACTTGATCCATGACAAAGCTGTGCAATAATAAATTTCATTATCTGAACATCTCTTACAACGAATTTGATATAGTGATATCAACAAAGCTGTTTTATGCAAAGTTTCTTCAAGGAGATTTTTATTTTTGCTAGCCAAGGTCACAGTTCTTTAAATCCAACCAATTTGAACTGGTTTAGTCTCACTAATCGATGTGTGTAGAAATAGGAATTCAATACACATACATAGTTTATATTGTTTGATTTCAATCAAATTCCTTAAATGTTTACTGTGAATATTCCATCCCAGAGCACATGTACATACCATAATCGTGATTGGCATAACTTCATACGTCCCCCTATTTGTTGGTATATGATGATGGCGACTTCTAAATGGCCATCTTTATTAAAATGTTCTGGTATAGCACCCTACATGATGATATATTTACATATAGCGCCCTCTGGTGACATATTTTGAAATAGCAATCTCAGTGATGGCATTGACATAAAGCAACCTTCAAGCTGGTGATGACATCATATATTGAGTTGGTGCCCTCAGCAATGACTTATTTTAAATGTATATGCATGTCAAATAAAAAATGCCTTATTTGTTTGATATTTAGTCTCCGTTCGGACACAGTTCGAAAACGAGGACTTATGTTTTGACCTCCGTGCTAACACGCATGTGTTCGTACCTGTATCTTAGAAATGCCTGGACCAATCAAAAACAAACTTCACACATACATCATACATGATATTATACATATGCACATCAATTTGTTTCACGATCTGATTCAAGATGGCCGAATGGTGGCCATTTTTGTGCTAAAATATCATCAAAATCAAGCATTTCTCAGCTGTTTACAGATGGATTTTTGTTCAAACTTGGTATATATGTTGGACATTATAGGACCTCGATGCACATCATTTTGTTTTTCAGATAAGATTCAAAATGACCGACTGGCAGCCATTTTGTTTTAATGAATGTGGATCTAGTGCCATATCTCTGACTTGCTTTGACTGATTATGTTCAAATTTTAAATATTCATTATACATCATGTCATAGATACATGTATACAGATATATTGGTTTGACGATCCTATTAAAAATGGCCCAATGGTGGCCATTTTTGTGCTAAAAATCATCAAATATCAAGCATTTCTGGCATTTCTGTATGGATTTTGTTCAAACTTGGTACATACATTAGACATTATGGGTTCCTGATGCACGTTATTTTATTTTTTTTAGATCGGATTCAGAATAGCTGACTAGCGGCCATTTTGTTTTAATGAATGGGCTTCTAGAACCATATCTCTGACATGCTTTGATCGATTATTTTCAAATTTTATATATTCATTATACATGTATTCAAAATGGCTGATTTTGTTTTAATTAAAACAATAGCTCTCAATACTCGTTTTGACGATCAGATACAAATGTCAATCATTTTAATTTTAAACAATCATCATAATCATATTCGTGACATGTTTATATTCCAGCTATATTACTATAAACAATATATCTTAAATTCGATAACTAACTGGGATTGTGCCATGCATGGCTCGTTTTAAATATCTTGCTTTTAATTTACAGGCACAGTTTGATGTGAGGGTGTGGTTTATTCGTTTATGTATATCTTTTCTTATCAATGGTGATGATCAGGTGATACAGAAAATGATTGACTTCAAAGGTTTGTAGCTTAATAAATAACTTCTGGATGGGTCGTGTTTTACATTTGTAGGCATTTATAAGGTATATATTGTATATAAGGTATGTATTGTATATGATAATGTAGATATGTATATTATTGTGGATACCATACTCATTTGACTTGGTGCCCTGGGCACTCAGCAATGTGTTTTAAAGAGGTGGGCGCTTACCTGATCACTCTTCTTGAAAAAGTTGCAATAGACAATTTTAGTTCACCATAGACAGATTGCGAAATTAGTTGATTTTAACAACACTTTTACAATGAAGATTTAGTCACAAAAAATATATTTATTACACTATTAGTTGGGGTTTGCAACGCGCATAGTACTGTAATGTGACATCATGTCAAGATCCCATTCAAGTCTCATCTCGTAGATAGGGAGAGTGATGCTACTACCTTCTGACATGACATGGGCGGTTTGTAATAAAACAATAAAACATGTATTACCACATTCATAGTGAAAAAATGTAATACATCGAAAATGTACAAAAAATATAGTTATCATAATCCGTCATACCGTGAGCAGCTATTTTGATCCACCTGGACATCCCAGTATCCTAGTTACCTTGGGTCACATTTTTGGAATGCTTATGCGAGATCGAGATTGTAATGGGAAACAAGTTGCAAACCCTAAGTAATGTACCTCTGGTTGCGTACATGTACTACCAGAAGTTACGAGGTAAAAAGTATTGAGTCTGTTGGAATACATTAATGTACACATGTATTAAATAATAGAACTATTGAAGAAAGTAACCTTTGATTATTTCTATGCTTACAGGTCTTTTCAATACAATGTTTAAAAACATTTCAAAAGACAAAGCGTCAACAATTCATCTAATTTTATCAACAATGAAGAGAAAGGTCTGTAAATTTCTATTTTATAATTAAATAGTCTTTAAATAATAGCGAGTAGGGCAAAGTCCACTCACAAAACAAGCTCTTTAGATAATATAATACCCTAAGATTTTGAAAATGGTGCACTTTCGGTTTGTTATGTTGTTTCACAAATCAAAGCGAGACAGATAATTCATGGCAATTATTTTCCATGGAAAGGCAATATTTTCTGACAACAGAAATTTTGAACAACGACGATACTTAAGTCATGTGTAGCACCATCTTGAAGCTTACTCAACTTGCATGTGAACTTAACTCTAGACGTGACTCTACAACTTGATGAGCAAGTGCATTGTATGAACTGTGTACAGCAAGTTATTAGTTCACGTGTAAGCGAAATCCAAAATGGCACCGCTGATGTACTACACAAAATAACTCAAAATAAACATTCAAACTATTTTCAGTCCATTGTCAAAAAACATTTACCTTATCATTGAAGAACATTTCTGAAGATGTTTCATCATGAAAACAAAAAAAAAGTACTTGCCAGTCAGTCAATGTGCATTATTTTCAGGCTTTAGGATAAAATTTCTTTGATATTCTCTCATAAATATACATGTTTTATCTAAAGAAATTGATAATATAATATTATTCTTATTTTCCAATAGATTGTATGTAATCCTGTGATCAGTAAGACGTCTAAGATGAGACTGTTTAGTGAGAATTCTTTACAATCTTTGTCAACACTGTATAAATGGAAA